TCCTCAGTAAACCCAAACTGAGTAAACGAACTTACTTTTGCACTTACATTTCGATGCTTACCTCGTATGGTTATATACTGAGTTGTTCCAAGGTAGTAGGCTAATATTGCCAAAACAATTAGAATCAGGCCGACGAATGGGATAAACTCTCGGCGAAATGTTGAACTCCTGACAAGCTTCCGTTGTCTTGGGTATACAAGCGCTCCTCTGTTGCTTGTTGTTCAAAACAAAACAAAAAAGGAAATTTTAGTGTATCTGGTTCGCCATAGAGGAGCTAACTTTGATCAGCAGATTTCCTTTGGAACCATAAAATAAGGCAATCCTTTCTTTTTCTTAATTCTATACCGTAAATGACCGTATAGACGCCCACTTCCGAATAAACGCCCCGTCTACGCTGTTAACATTGTATTCGACGCCCCTCTCTAATAAACGCCCCCTGTCTTATAGACGCCCCCCTATGAGAATTACTCCAAAATACTAGAAATTAGCAAAAAGGAGAAAAGTCATTCGATTCATTCAGTTTCTTGATTGATTATCAGGACTTAACGTGTTTCATCTTGTTAAATACCAAGTTCAAAGAACGGTGAGACTAACGATGGCAAAACAATAACCCTTCGGAGCGTGGATTGTGATATCGATGTTGGGGTTTGAAAGAGCGATATAGATCTCTAGAGGGCCTAGACATATCAGTTGGAGTGGATATTCTGCATATTAGTTTTGTTGAGCTTGTTACAGTTATGAGAACAAACGCCTCCTATCTATTAAACGCCGCCGCTTGGACCCCTAAAATTAAATAGACATCCCGTGGGCGGTAATTTACCGTAATACAATTATTTTTGCGGGGCTATCGCCATTAAATCTTATAGTTAATATTCACTTTTTAAACAAAAAGAATTTCATATTGAGACCGAAGTTTAAATAAGCTAAGGGGCCGACCATTTAACTCTTGACGGGGGGGGTGGGTGATTTTTGGTCGGCAAGAATTTTTTTTTCTAGCAATCTGGTGGGCAGGATATTTTTTTCCCTTCTAAATGCTCTGCAGGATATTTTTTTCCCTCCTCATTTCTCTGCAGGATTTTTTTTTCCTCAAAAAAGGGTCATGTGTTTACATATACAAAATGTATTTCCACTTACATTCTGGTCATTGCAGTAATAGTTCTAATATGGAGCTGCAAAGCCTTAAAATGTTGTAAGCTATACAAAATCATTATTGTATAGCTATCTTTTCAGAAAGTCATTCTTTACACTCATTTTATTACGTCAAAATAAAGTGATGCACCACAGGCAGATGTGGAAGTGTTTAGTTTCTTAATTTAAAAAAAATAGCCAAAAATAGCAAAAAGCAGTCTAGAAATGCTCATAGCATGGTAATTGCTGCTAGAATCATTAGTTGCAATTTAAAAGTAGACTGAAATATCCAAAACCAATGTGAAAGCAAAATTGAAGTTAGTTGATCATGGTCTAATTGAAAAATAGCTCTAATAATTTTTGCTCAGCCTTTTTTCAGTCCACTTCTATACAGTTGCAGCATTCAGCCATGTTCATTGCTGCTGTTAATTTTTATCTTGCAGCGCAATTTTTATTCATGAAATATACAGCTAATTTTTATGCACCTATCAATGTCTTGCCCAAACAGAGGGAGTGCGGAAATAGGTGGGGCATTTGACCTGTGAACTTTGTCCAAGGGAGGGGATGTTTTGAATAAGAATTAAGGTTTGAAATGGCAGAGGGTGTGGAATTTGAAATTTATTGACCAAAAATATTTGAAATCAATAAGTCAATGGCCCCTGGGTATACCTGCACTCCCCCAATTGGGGCTAGACATCGATAGGTGCATTACTAAAACTTAAAAAAATATATTATATTTATTTAAATAGAAAATAATTACATAAAAATGTTTCTGTTAAAAATGAAAAAAAAAAACTTCCTTTGTCTATTAAAACTTGATTCTTTAATAAAAAAAAATTACCTCCATTTATAATACTGCTTGTGATAAGCTAATAATGCATTGCACATATTACGCAATAATTTTGCAGCATCATCAAATCCAGAGTTCAAAGTGAGCAAGGGAAAAGAATGGTTGCAGTTTTGCTGCGATTTTTTAAACACCCCCGGAATGATGAAATAGCTTTGCAACATTTTTTTTTCTTTCTTACAGCAGCGCAAGAATTTTTTTCTATTACATTTGTCCTGCATGCAATTTTTTTCTTCCGACAAGCGCTTGCAGGAAATTTTTTTTCAAAATCACCCCCCCCCCCTCAAGAGTTAAATGGTCGGCCCCTAATAAGGAAATAACCAACTCCTTCGAATTAGCGCCGGGTTCTAGCTCCAGGAAATTTAATTAAGCAGCACGGCGCTATTCATGATAGAGTGGTCCAATTTCAGCTACCTTACACTCACTACCTTGCTTTTTCGTTCTGCTGCGTTAAAGTAAATTTTGGTCGAAGATAAACAAATATGCGGATTATGTAAGACAAAATAACTTCAACAGATCCGAGTCGTGGTATGATTCTGTGAACGAATGAAGCATTGATCTGGTTCCATATATATCCAAGAGCAACTTTCTCCCTTGCGTAGCGGAGAATTAGTACATAGTTTTCGTCTTCAAAGTACTTGTCCTTACCTCGCCTCGTGGCCAGCAGTTGTCATCTTCAAAATATCCCTTAACTAGACTTCCAGGGTGAACATTTCTTTCGCGGTGAATTTGGAATTCAAAGAGTTTTCTAAACTATCTTTGCTAAACGTTCGCAGGTAAAACATAGGTGCACTGATTTTGCAATCACGGAATGTGAGCTTTGAAGTTCTTAACGTCGCCATCACATAGACAAACTCCTAACACAGAGAATGTTTGATAAAGCGACTTTGCATATGATTTTCTGGAAGGAATGTAAATAAAGTTTTTTATTTACTCGAGATTTTGAATTTCATTAAGTAAGCAACATGAAGTGCTGGTCCGGACAAATTTTTAATCGGACGAAACCTTCCCCCGCTAAACCTTTCGTTTTACTGGCCCGCGGAACCGTGCAAGTTTTGGACGGAAAAGTGTGCAAGTTTTTTTTACCTGATCAAAAAAATCAGAAGTAGGTCACAAGTTTGATCGGTACGGTTCCACTTTTACGCAAACTCTTTTAAGGTGATGCTACAAGGCCGATTCGCAACGACGATTTTTATAGCAACACAGTGTTACAAAATTGTTGTTACATTGTTTCGAATGGTCGCAATATTGTTCCAACATTTGAACCCTTTTTTGCGCTAAAAATCGTCGTTGCGCGAATCGTCCCCTGTAACATCACCTTTAAACACTTGATACAGTTTGCGCGGTAAAAGCCTGGAGCCTAGTAACTCCTAGTTACGAGCTTTTGACAGGAAAAAGACATTCACTACTTTCACATAGACCATAATGCACATTGCTTCCTTACTTAATGAACTATTGTTTGCACTTTCTTCATGATATTAAAATGGTCCCAAGAGAAATAGACTGTTCACAGTCCCCTATTTTTTCGTGAGATCGTCGAGATCGAGCGCGTCTTACCATTAATGGCGGCCATCTTGATTTTCAGTCGTACCGAGTCTTACCTGGGGAAGAGTATCAAATCTACTTAGGGGGCGAGGGACGGTTTGGGAGGAGGCGAGAAAAATATTTTTCTCGCCTCCCACCCCCTAAAGCTATAATCCCCGACGAGGAAATCAAGATGGCCGCCATTAACGGTAAGACGCGCTCGATCTCGACGATCTCACGGAAAAATAGGGGACTGTGAACAGTGTACAAGAGAAATCGAAAACAATGGTTATGCAGAGTTTTGGGGGGTGAACAAGGTGCATTGTGGTCTATGTGAAAATGGTCAATTCCAATGCTGACTGGCAAAAAGGTTATCGGACTCGTGTAAACAGCACTGCACGGTTTGCACAGTGCCGTGTAAACGGTTTGCATGGGTAAAAAGATCTCCGTTCCAAAATTTGTCCGGACCTGTCTAAACGGGGTGATAAATAAAGTGATTCGACCAAAATGGCTTAAGAGGCTGTTAAAATGAGACGATATAGATTATAAGTTCGTGCAACGGATTTTTAAGTCTAAGCAACAAATACAATAGAAATAAAATTTGAATTGTAAGAAAATGGTCATATACTTGGGAATAAAAACCCGACAATGCATGCTGTGAATCGGCTCTAACCGTTCGATGCGAGCTATGACGTCATTTATGGCTACCACAACGCTCATAAGGTCCGCCATTTTGTGTAAGGGTTATGGGGCCGAAGACTAGCAATAACCCCTGTGGTTGGCCTGTTACGTCAGCCTTTGATATATGATACATTTCGGCGGACATTTTAAGCTGTCCGCACAACGAGGTCAAGAATTCGTAACGACGAACTTTAATCGCACGGCAATTATTCACGACCCATCGCGTCTGATACGAATATATATCTTTTTAACATCCGACTTAAAAAAGGGATGATGAGACTTATATATAACGTCGAGCACTGAATACTGAAATTGCAAATTTGGTTGCGGTTCATCACCAGTCACTCGCGTTTCGCACTCGCCTCTGCCATGCGAAAAACGAAGCGCCTGAGCAGGAGGCTGTTGTAGTACTATATTAAAGTAGAATGCTCCGAGCTCAATTTTCAAGAACAAGAGATCCAGTTAAAGTTGAACTATTAACTTTAAATGTTGAAACGTGAAGTTGAAAGTTGGGTGCTATAACTTAATGTTAGCCGCTCAAGTTGAATGTTGAGGACTCAAGTTGATTTTTGGTTGGGATTGAACACCATAATCCATGCTTCAAAGAGCTGATTAACAATTCTCGGAAATACAGGATGTTTTTTATTCTTCCGTCAAACCATCAAAACATGTCAAGAAACGCTATTTGATTGGTTAGTAATACAGAGTATAGTCTGGGTCACAAGACAAGAATCTCATTGTTCATTCGCAAAGCCATTCCCTTAGTCGTCAACAACTAGGCCAAAATTTTTAAAAAGTAACCTTGTTTCCGACCTTTTCCATGGATATAAAGACCTTGCTGGACAATCTTCATGATGAAGTATCCTGTTCTGTGTGTATGTGTACATTTACTGATCCAAAGCAGTTGCCTTGTTTGCACAGTTTCTGTCTTCACTGCCTGAACGGAATTCAACGAACGAGTGGCGTCCATGGCAAAATTGTATGCCCTGAGTGCAGGAGACAGTTTCAGATTTCTGGGAGTGGAAATCCCAGCGAACTGCCCACCAATTTTCGAATAAATAGTTTGTTAGATGTCTTGGCAATCAAAGAGTGTAGTACAGTCAACGTCAAATGCAGAAACTGCGAGAAACGGAGCGCCCAGACCTTATATTGTTTCCAGTGTTGTTCCTTCTGGTGTGAAGAATGTGTTGTAGCACATAACTTAATTCGAGAAAATAAAGACCACAGAACGCTAGCACTGAAAGATTTTCAAGATCAAGACATCCAGGCTGTATTAGAGCGACCTTCATTTTGTCAGAAGAAACACCATGAAAAAGAAGAGCTGAAGTTCTTTTGCAAGGACTGTAAAGTCGCCATTTGCAACACTTGTGCCGTAACGCTTCATGAAGGTCATGGTAAGATGCCCTTGCAAGAAGCTACCGATGAGCGCAAAACACAAATCAACTCCATCATTCGATCTTTGAAAGACAAAGTATTGGAAACACGACAGGAAGTCGAACAATTCAACCAAAAACGAATCGCAGTTCAATCGAAAGTAACCGAAGTAAAAAGCCAAGTGCAGTCTTGTGTAGATCAAATTATTGCAATCATCGAAGCGAGGAAACAAGATGTTTTTGATGCAGTCGAAAATCAAGCAAAGAAATCACTGGAATCTCTCTTACAGAAAAAAGACGAAGTGGAAAAACGAGTGAAACTAATTGAATCAGCAATTGAACAAACTGAAACTCTGTTGGAACGAAGCTTTAGTACTGAAATCCTGGGATTCAGTGAAACATTTGATACAATCCTACAGGAACAGGGCCCCCAACAAAACCGTGACACTGAATGTATTCCTCGGTTTAGTTTTACTAAAAGTGAAAAACCGATTAATTTGTTAAGCAGTGAAGGAATAGGTAATTTAAAAACTGCTTTTAGCGAAACTAAAGTACAAGCAACTATAGGTAAAGAAAGTAGTAAAGTAATTGCTGGGAATAAAGCGACAAATGTTTGTGACAGACGTCCTTTTAAGGCTCTGGTACAAACTAGACGCTTCAGATCTGTGTTGTCATTTGGACAAAAAGGTAAGTCTGTTGGAATGCTTTCGAAGCCCCGGGGATTGGCAGTGAATGATCAGGATGAAATTGCTGTGGCTGACTTTTGGAACGACAGGGTTTCAGTGTTTAGTAGTGACGGTACCCACTTAAGATCGTTTGGTAGAAGGGGTAAAAAAAATGGTGAGTTTATATTCCCTGCAGGGATCGCTGTCGATAATCATGGTAATATTGTAGTGGCAGACAAAAATAACCACAGCGTGCAAGTCTTTGATAGTAGTGGTAACTTTCTTAGAAAGTTTGGTGAAGAAGGAATTCTTGATCACCAACTTAGGAACCCTGCAGGTTTATCAGTAAACGGTAACGGTGATATTATTGTTGCTGATGATGGTAACAAATTAATCAAGATATTCTCTTCTAGTGGGGAGTATTTACGTAAATTTGGTGGAGCAAGTACTTTTGTCAGTCCCTATCACTGTATCCAACACGGTCAATATTTTATAGTCTCAGACTGGGGGGATCATTCCATTAAAATATTTGATCTGGAGGGAACGTTTATTTCTAAATTTGGAAAACTAGGAAACAAGGATGGTGAGTTCAAAAGTCCCTGTTACTTGTCAGTTAACAAAGAAGGTTTGTTAATGGTCTGTGATGGAAATAATCACAGAGTTCAGGTTTTTGAACTTAATGGAACGTTTATTACAAAGTTTGGGAGTAAAGGTAGGAAGATAGGAGAGTTTAATGCTCCAAGGTCTACCGCAAATCTTAGTGATGGAAGAATAGTTGTATCTGACATGGACAACAACCGAATCCAGATTTTTGACAAGGTATAATATGATCTTACCAGTAGTATTGTAATTGTTAAAAGCGGTTCAAATTGATTACCTCGAACAAAGAAAACCGGAGTTTTTCGAACAACACCATCTCGTGAGGTATTTGCCACTGTTGTTTGTCTTTTCTGTAAATGTAACAGTAAGTTATATAATCGTTGCTGCAATAATAGCTGAAGTGACATTCAACTTGTAAATATATTTTGTTATCCTTTTTTCATATGGACTGTAGTCTAATTTAATTTCCGATTATAGTTAAAGAAGGTGGTTAAATTGTTTGGTATCAAAATTGCTTTTTATGCTGTACATCTTTTCATTTTCTTTCCAGCAGTTGCTAGTTGTTAGCTAGTGCATTTCTTGAAGTATTAATCCCGAGCCCTTGGCTCAAGTACCATTTTTTCTCAACAGCTTCTTCAGGTCACATATATTAACCGAATCGTATAACAATTTGTTGAAAACGCATTTTAAAAAGGATAATCAAAAATAAAGAATGCTTTATTGTTCAAATTTTATCGTTGTCAATGAGACCGTCAGGTGTTGAAGTTGAACGTACCAGTTTACTTCATTCAAGCGTGAATGTATTTCACACGCGAGCGCTAATTGAGGACACTATTTTTACGTCTGTACTCGGAGAATGGACCACACTTTCTATGTCCAGTGATCATCCGAGTCACGTATAGGTCTACTGAGCAGTTAACGGGACAAGCAAGTACAGTCGAAGCCCTCTTTAAGGACACCCACTTAATACAGATACTTTTTTTCCCCTGGTGACAATAGACCCTAGTCCATTTACCGGGGGGGTTCTCGATATATCCCTGGGTGGGGAGGTGCGGCGCGGCCCCTCATACCCTGACCCTGTTTCAGACAAATATCGCTGATTTTCCTACCCTGCTTAAGACAGAATTCCGATTTTTGATACCCTGTTTAAGTCAACGGAAGTCAATATTAATTAACATTAGGGCTTGTGAAAATTTTGCTGTTTATCGTCCAAGAAAAGATGTCCTGTTTAAGACAAAAATTGATAAATCGATACCCTGATTAAGACAAAAAATGATAAATTTGATACCCTGTTTAAGACAAAAATCCCGAAAAACATACCCTGGCTGGCCGCACGTCCCCATTAAGCCCTTATAAGGGAGTACCCCCGGGTCCATTTTCTCTTAATTCAACCCCCTTAATACGGACACTTTCTATGGCTCTGTCGGGCTTTGACTGTACCTTCTTCCTTCGTTATTTTAAGACCCTCAGTGTTTATGGAATTCCCGTTCCTGCAGTCAAACGCTCTACCGGCTGAGCTAATCTTTTCGTTTTCAGGTAGATAACTGCTAAATCTACCGTTCAGTGCATGTACTACAAGCTGTGGCTGTACGAAAGTGTAACCTCGCGTAGCAAGCGCATGAAGGGGAGGGGAGAGGAAGGACATGGGAGCAGATAAGGGTATTTTCTCCCGTCCCCTCTTCTCTCCTCTCCTCTCCATTGAACTCCTCTACTCTCCCCTGCTCTCCTCCCCTCTCCTCCCCTGTCCTATTCTCTACTATTCTCCCCTCCCTGCCCCTGTTCTCTCCTCTCCTCTACTCCCCTTTCCTATCCTCTCCTCTAACTCCCTTACTCTCCTCTACTCTCCTCCCCTCCCCTGTCCTCTCCTCTCCTCTCTTCTTGTCCTTATCTTATTTTATCTGTTAAGCAATATAGGGTTCCTTATTGCAGGAGTCTCCTTAATCTCCTCTATAATCGCCTCTCTACCCGTCCCTATTTAATGTACTCCTAGCCTGCGTGGCAGGTGTTAAAAGGGGAAGGGGGAATTTGGGCGCTCGAGAGCGCGTGGGGCACGCGAGCGAGAAAGGTTAACCCTATGGTATCCTTGAGCAATGATAACTTCTCTTCTTAACTCTTCCATATCAAGTCTTCTTTATCTCTAGGGACTAGGGTAATTGCCTCTAGAGAAGAAATGGCCTGAGTCCTCGCTGGCCCTGAAAGGAACTCACTAGTCGGGTATAGAAGAACTGCTCATGCAGTTCATACAGCATAACAGGCCAGAGCCCCGAGTTTAAGTACTAGGCGACTTTGAAAGACGCGTGCTTCACATATTTGTGGCGGATTAGAATGCCGGCTTGGTCAGAGGCCCTTTGTTTAAAACATGGCGGGATACTCGCAGCTTAAGGCAAGCATGTGCCTTGTAGCTATCAACATAATGCTTTTTAATGTGGTTAAATGTAATTTAAGCTAAGTTAAACGCGAAACAATGCTGGTCTGGGGTTTCCCTTGTCTCGGTCATGCGCAGTGGTGGGGGATCTGCAGGGGGTCGCGTGGTTTTACAGCTCGGGTTTTGAGGTCAACTCATTTGCACGTGCACTTTTGCCTTTTCGACGGTGCTTGGCGACTTTACTGTGTTTATTTCTTATTTGCCTTTTGACGATGGGTTCGCGGGGTACGACTAATAGCTTGCAAACCGCTCCGGTTTTGCTGCCTGTTCCATCTGGAGAAGAGGCTTCGGTTTCAAACGTGTCTTCGTCGGCTGGTCAAAACATCTCGCCTCCCTCGTCGCAAGTTTCTCAAGCGTCTCTTCCACCGGCCGGGCCGGCGAGCGCGGGAGTTTCGCCAGAAATGGTTGCGTTGATCACGCAGACCGTGCAAGCTGTTCTCGCAGCCGAGCGGGAATCTTCGAGAGCTGCCTCGACTGCATCGCAGCCGGTTTTGTCCGCAGCGAGCGCCATTACTACAACACCGCCTTATTCGGGAGGCGTTCCCGCTGCTTTGCCGTCGCTCACCGATTCTGCATCAAGCCTGTTGGCCGCGGGGACAGGATTCGGCGGACATTCCGTACAAGGTAGGCCAAGCCAATCACTTGTTGTGCCATCCTTTGTGTCCACGTTTTCGCTTCCATCCATGTCATCTTTCGCTCCTAGCGCCTCGAACGTTTGCCCCTCGCAGAGCGGGGCGATTCGCGATGTCGCCGCCCGTTCTGTCGGTACATCGGCGTCGTTGTTGGACCAGCCGTTCGTTGTTGGTCCCGGTTTCTCGCCCGTGCCGGCGAAGCTGGTCGCTCAAATCGTGGCGGGCAAGTACGTTGACCTGAGCGATTTACTGGCCGTGAACTTGCTGCAGAAGGAAACGGAGCCGCAAGTGCTGTTCGACGGGCGCCTTGTTCTCACGTCCCAACCGAAGCAACAGCGCCGGAAGATCGAGGACATCGCGTCCTGGATGGAAGCCTTTTCCATCTTTGCTATGATTTTGGTCACCCACTTCCCGCATCGATGGAAGGACTTATTGCAGTACCAGCTGCTCATCCTCCGCACATTCCGTCATTTCTCGGGCAAAGTGTGGCTCGCGTACGACCGAGCATTCCGTGTGCATGCCGCCGCCATTCGCTTGACGGATTGGTCGTCGATGAACGTGCAATTATTTAATTTCCATGCTGCTGGCTCGTCCGTCCGTGACTCCACACTGGCCCAATCTAATGAGTACCCTGAGCCACCAGGATCTTCGTCTTCTAATGTCGTTTGCATTTCGTGGAACAAGGGGCGCTGTACAGCACCCTTCGCGTCGTGTCGCTATGCTCACCGCTGCAATTTATGTTCTGGCTCTCATCGTGCGACGACGTGCCCCAATCGCTCCAGCCGGGACAGCCGTGAAGAACGCAAACGTCGCGGAAGTTCTCCAGGATCTTCCTCCGGTGCCAAAGCTCGCCGTACGTGAGGGATTCGTTAGTTGCCGGGTGTTGCAGCCATTCGTGCGCATAGTCTGCAGTTGTCTTGACGGTTTAGCCGTGCCGCTTCGTGTTGTTGCTTCGCTCATTCCCACGTGAACATTCATGCTTTTGTTGTTTATCGTTTTTGTTAGTGTGGCGCTTCGCCTTAGTTGATTAGTTATCGTAATGTGGTCTCGTTTAGGGCTATTTTGTTATTTTTGACCGTTCGTGTGCGGCTATATTGTCCCTACGCCCCGTTTAGCAGGGGTCAGGGTATCAAGCCTTTTCGCTCACCTGCCTCGTTGCTAGGTTCTCGTGTTTGCATTTGTACCAGTCTCGGATGTTAGATAATAAAATGCTATGGTTGGGTTTTCATCATTTTGCAAGTGTTTCTTTTCTTTGCAATTTTATCATCAGGGGGTCCCATTTTCCATCCAGTGTCGGTGGTTTCTCCCCTGAATGTGGTACAATTCACGTTGGACCTAGCTGGGCACCCAGATCAGCAAGCAGTCGCCTTTGTTTTGCAAGGTCTCACACATGGGTTTCGCCTGGGATTCCAATCTACTCGTACACTCAAATCTGCCAAACGGAACAAACCCTCGGCATTCCAGAACCCGAAAGTTATTGACGATTATTTGGCCCACGAGGTTTCCAGATGCCGGGTGGCTGGCCCCTTTCCCTCGATTCCCCTTCGGAATTTACAAATAAGCAGTTTCGGGGTAATCCCCAAAAAAGGCCAACCTGGCAAATGGCGGCTTACTGTTGACTTGTCCTCCCCGGGTGGGTACAGCGTAAATGACGGTATTAGCGCTGACGCATTCTCTATGCATTACATCAAACTCGACCAGATTATCCGCATGGTGGCCAAGCACGGTCGTGGGGCCATGATGGCAAAGTTCGATGTCGAGGCCGCTTATCGCAACGTTGCAGTGCATCCCGAGGATCGGTACCTGTTAGGGATGCAATGGCGGGGCCAATTCTTTGTTGACTTAGCTCTTCCCTTTGGGCTGCGCTCGGCTCCCTATATTTTTAACTCGATAGCAGACATGGTGGAATGGATCATTATTAATAGGTACAATGTGGCCGACCTTATGCACTATCTCGATGATTTCCTCACTGCAGGCCCGGCGTGTTCGAACCAATGCACTAATAATTTGCAAACATCCCTGGCAGTTTGTCGGTCGCTTGGCCTTCCCTCCACCCTGGCAAGTGCGTTGGCCCGCTCACTTGTTTGACCGTGTTGGGGAATTGAACTAGACTCAGTGCAGCAATCGGCTCGTCTTCCAGAAGACAAGTTAGCCGCCCTTCAGGAGCT